AACGGAGCCCGGGAAGCACGGCGGGGGTGTCCGGCGGGGGGGGGGGCCCTTCTTCGGGACGCAGAAGCGATCTGGCGACAGGTAAGTCGCCAGGATCGCTTCTGTTGTAAAGCCGACAGTCGGCTCTACAAGTTTAAACAGAGTCCCGGCGGCAAAAGTCGCCGGGAGTCTGTTTAAACAGCCCCGATGCTGACGACGTACACTGTACGTCGTCAGTCACGAAGGGGTTAAAGGAGGCTACCATCAGTTTCAAGACCCTCAAGCAGAAGGGGAGGGTCAGACGGCTTCTAGATTAAAGAAAACAGATTCTGAGTCTGAAGAGTTAGAAGTTTCTCTTGGGGAAGGAACACTCTAGCTTAGTAAGAAGTGTCCAGGACCAGCACCAGATATGTCAAACAATGTTTAGGAGTCAATGATTTCTGAAATCTCAGTATCCAGCCAAACCTCACAGTCAGAGACACGTTGTCCTCCGGTGCCCTCAATGACTGTTGGTCATCCAAGTATCCTACAATGGGAATATCACTAGAGTGCAACGGGGCCAACACCTTGGTTAACACTTGAGGTGCAAGACAGGTCGCTTCGATGGCTAGAAAAAATCACAGGTTAGTGTTTAAAATGGCAGAGCTGAAAACAAAACAAAACATCAATCCTTTTGTCAGAGCACAATGAAAACCAGACAAGCGAAAGGTGCTAGTTAAAATATTTATTAAGAACAGTGTCCACAGGAGCAAGCAGAATCATAAACCGGAACAAGCCAGAGTCAGGACCTGGAGTGGGTAGTCGTCCAAGCCAGGTCAGGAACACAGAGATCAGCGTTGTCAGGAACAAGGCAGGAAATCAGCGTTGTCAGGAACAAGCCAGGAGCAGGAGCCAGAGGAGACCGTCAGCCAGGATCGGGTCATACACAGAATCCGGATACTCAGAGTGGTTTATATATAGTGAGTGGGGTGACATCATCACTCAGAGACAGGAAACTCCCATCTGACTCTCTCAGATGATGCTCTCCTGTCTGGCCATAAGAGGAAGCCTGGGAGGAGTGAGCAACATTCCAGATTCTGCTCAAACAAAGAAGGAAACACAGGTGAGTAAAATGGCAGCCAACCCAGAATGCTGCAAACCAGTAAAGTCAGGGTGGAACCCTGACACCTTTCCAGAACACTAGCAAAGTATTCGTTTTTTGTTAGCATTGTCCAATCCTCCTCCAAGTCGCAGTATAGCCAAAAGGATTAGGACTTCCTGTATACCTCAATGCATGATAAAGACATCTTTGTTATTGTGCTGAAATATCCCCTGCAAGGAAAACTCCACTTCATTGACAAATAAAAGTAGAAGCACTTACCACTTGCTGACCGGGTCGTCCACACCCCCTTCCTGGCCAGGCCATATTTCAGTATTCAGCGCTGCAGTACTTTGACTGGCATTTATTCCGTCATGCAACACTGTACTGAAATTAATTTTATACAATTTTTTGGGGACAGATAGAGCTTTCTTTTGGTGGTATTTAATCACCACTACGGGTTTTATTTTTTACTATATAATGAAAAAAATACCGAAAATTTTTGGAAAAAAAGGTTTGACCTACGTTATGTTATGAAACAATTATTATTACCCAAATTTTTGGGTAAAATATAAAAGTCGGGGTCACGTCGGGTAAATAGACACCAAACATATCAAGCTCTAAAATTGTGTGAGCCGCTGTCCGGCCGTTTAATTACAATGGCTGGGCAGCAGGTGGTTAAAGCACCTTTGCAGGTAGCACTTAAAAGCTATCAGTTTGATGCTGATCCTTACAGTTCTTATTTATCCAGTTCACGATATAGCTAGTAATAATGACATTCAATTGGACTTGTTCTGCAAACATGAAGCTGTTTCCCTACTCATGCAAGTTGCCACCTAATTTCTAATTAGTGTCAGGAACTTACGTCAATATTTAAAGACATACCAGTAACTCAGTCACCTTAATCTGATCACAATGATATTTGTCAAGGCAGATATTGATTGTCCATGAAACTCAAATTACTCAAGAATGACAAATGTGACTTGATCAGGTGACTGTGCATTGTGTTTTCCCATTCCTAATGTATGATGTTACAGGTCATATGCATAACTTCTGCTGATATAGACCTTAAATGAGGGCATAAGCCCTCATTTAAGACTTATTATTTTGTGTACAAGCCATAACTCAGGTTTGTTAGGTTTTCCTAAACTATATTAAACAAAGTCCCCAGCAGACTGAAAAATTAAACACTTGTTTTTATTAAAACACAAATTAAAAACAGTAAAAACAGTAAGAAATGTCTTAGGGTTAGTTCTATCCATAATAAAAATTCAGGGTGATAAAACCACAACTTGGCCTTTAGTGGAGCAGTCTAGTTCTCTTCACAATGACTGCTACATTACTTCCAGTAGAAGCTGTAGAATAAAAGAGCAAGGATTTCTAAAGCTGTCGCTATTCAACAATAATGATTTATCAACCAACACAAGTTTGTAAAAAGCTGTTAGTATGAAAGGTTGCCAGCTGAGCGCTCACAGGTAAAACAGAGTATTAGAAAGCTCCATACTTGGCTCCCGGTGAATGCTCTGCCCAACCAGGAAGGTAAGTTTATGGGCGTACTGGCATGGAGCTGGCACTCGGATCACCCCCTGAAAAACACACGAAGTACAAATGGTAAACAACATTGCTAAATATTAAAGATGATTATTCTTTACTGCCTAACAAAAAAACCCAATTGATCTAAATTGTTAACTAATGAACATGTTCATGTACTGTGAGCTTGTCAGTGGAATACATGTTTGGTGATTGAGTTTGGTTGGTATAGGAGAGCTATTCACATACTGTTTCAAGCGTTAATTTAGTTTATGACCATATAAACGGCCACAATTCGCATGTTCAGACCCAGATTTTCGGCTGACAGTCCAGTCTTTAAACACTTTAACAACAGCTGCTCTTGAACATTTAACGAATTCTGATGTTTTGCTGATACTCGCTCCATGGCTCCGCGCGCCAACAATCATCCCACGCTCAAAGGCTGTTAAATCGCGTTGTTTCCCCATATCTTCAGAAACAAATCACTTCTACTGTCGTGGTAAACAACCTGCTTCCCTATTTATAATGGTCTGGCCCTCTAGCAACTTCAGTGCAAAATTATAGCTAATTTGCCTACAAACGTCAGGTGGTTATAATAATCTGGCCACTCAGTGTAGACCTGTATGCATATTCAACACATGATCAACCTTTGGCATACTTTGTAATTGCAGAACCATGATGCAACTAATTAGAATTAATTTTGTATTGAATCATCTGATGTCTGTGTGCTCCGTAATAGGGATGTCCCGATACCGATGCTAGCATCGGAATCGGGACCGATACAGGACATTTTGACAAGTACTTGTACTCAAAATGCCCTGATGCATAGCGCCGAAGCTTGCGCTGTGTTTTTTTTTTTTTTAACGTTACCTTCCGTGGTCGGGTGTCCTCTGGGCAGGCTGAGCAGAGGAGCGTCGCGTCACTGCCGTGGGCAGAGCTCCAGGTGGGGTTCTAATGTAGGTGGCCGGCGACTGCCCAGAGGATCCCACTCAGAGCGCCGCCCACCGGAGCAGCAGTGGCGCGATGCTCCTCTTTGCCGACAACGTCCTTCAGTGCCAGAGAGCAGCCGTGGGTCAGCGCTGGTCCGCCGGGAGGAGTTCCAGGTGGGGTCCTAATTTAGCTGGCCGGCACCTCTGGGCCAGTTAAATTAGGACCCCACCTGGAGCTCCTCCCACCCCTTTAAAAAAAAGAAAAAAAAAAGTATCGGTAATTGGTATCGGCAAGTACATGAGGGGAAGTACTTGATCCTGAAAAAGTGGTATCGGGACATCCCTACTCTGTAAGATGCCGGCAGACATAACATAAGCCGGTAAAGTCAAATGTTAAACCCTGCTCTTCTAACTGCAGCTGCTCTCATTGGTAATGATGAAGACACCACAATCCCCCCACTCTTTCAAAAATCTTGTATTACACATTTAATTGGCTAACATTTATTCACCACTCACCTGGATAAGAGAAAGGCAGGATGGAAACACCTACTGTATACCAGCTATTTCCTTTTATTAGCATAGCAGTGCATCAATAGGCAACTGCATGACACTTATTAGGGTACAGTGGGCCTATACAGTACATTAGGGATAATCGTTGACAAGGAGGAATATTAGTATAGGTTTAAAGATTTACTTGGTCCTGCTTTTCCTCACTTAAAGTGATATTAAAGCTTCCTTTTTAAAAACAAAATAGTGGCCATTGTTTTTAGCTGTAAGTAAGTCATTAGTGAATTTTAGGAGGGCGGTTTCAGTGATGTGTTGGGGGCGAAAGCCAGATTGTAAGGGATCAATGTGGCACGATCTGGGATCAGGCTCAGAGTCCAGCAGCTGAAGCAGCAGGCAATTCGTATTATAACAGGACGGGTTTGGTACAGAAGCAGAGGGTAGTGGTGGAGGAGCAGGCAGAAGCGTAGTCAGTGAACAAGCCGAGGTCAGGAGCCAAAGGTATCAGGTATGTAGCAGGAGACGGAGAGAGTAGTTGGTGAATCAGCAGCCAAGGGTCGGTACACGGGAAGCAGTATGAGTAGAGCAGAGGGAGCAGGAAGCAAGATATTGGCAGGAGCACAATAATCTGGCAAAGAGGAAGTGCAGGGGCATGTCTTAAATAGGAAGTTCAAGGGAGGAGCAAGGAGATCAGAGTTCAGCATCTGATTAGGTATAACTGAGGATTACAGAGGAGATCAGGCAAGGAGCTATCCAAGGTTCTTAGGTGGCTCAGCAGGTAGAACCACCGCCAGCTACAGCAGAGGCTCTGGGTTCAGACCCGGTTCCTGACACAATGAGATTGTTATCAGTGGGGTGGAAGCTCAGGCGATTGTAGATAATGCATTCAAGGAGTTTGGAGGTGAAGGGGAGTAAGGAGATTGGTCTGAGGTTGGTGGGGTCCAGTGAAGGTTTTTTGGGTATTGGGGTGACCACTGCATGCTTTAGAGGGGAGGGAAAGATGCCACAGAGAGTGAAAGATTACAAATTGTGGGTTTGAGAGTGTAGGATAGAGCAAGAGGGTGATCGGAGTAGTGTTGAGGGAACAGGGTCCAGGGGGCAAGTGGTGAGGTGGGTGTCAGAGAGAAGCTTTGTAACCTCCTCTTTGGTGACAGGGTCAAAAGAGGAAAGTAACAAGTGCAATGGTAGGCCTGGTACATAAATAGGGGAAGGTGACTGGACAGTGGGCATTTCATCTCAGATTGCATCTATTTTGTTCTAAGAGGAGGAGTGGATCTGAGAAAGTTCTCTCTCAGATCTGCTCCTCTGCTCAGTGGGCGGGTGCAGTAGCCAGCCTGCTATTGTGATTTGAAATAGCCAATAGCAGTCTTGCTATTGATCCCAGCTGTTTAAATTCACCTGCCGGCTGCAGAAGCTAGCATGGGGAAGCGGAGTACCTTGGGTTGGTTGTTTGAAGTTACTATTAACTCTCAAGCAACCAGAAACAAGTTATTCGGCACCTACCAATCCCGGGGGTACCGAATAACTGGGAGTTTACTGTACCGTAAATTCCATCGTAAATTTAAAAAACTCGTAACTTGATCTATCGCATCCCGAGGAGCATCTGTACTTTTATTAGAGCACCCTTTTGCTGTTATGACCTGCTGCAAACGAAATGCATAGCCAGACACCAGCTTCTGGCAGCATTCTTGAGGAATCTTAGCCCATTCCTCATGAGCAATGGCCTACAGTTCACTGATATTCTTAGGTTTGCGTGTGGCAACCGCCTTCTTCAAATCCCACCAGAGATTTTCTGTGTGGTTCAGGTCAGGTGACTGTTATGGCTCCTGTAGAATCTTCCAGGACTTCAGCAACCAAGCGTTGGTGGAATTTGAGGTATGCTTGGGATCACTGTCCTGTTGGAAGGTCTAATGATGCCCAAGCTTCAGTTTCCTCACAGACGGCATGATGTTTTCTCCTAGGATTGCCTAATACTTCAATTAATCCATCTTGCCTCCCACACACTGCAGATTTCCAGGATGCAAAGCAGCCCCAGAGTATCACCATGCTTAACCGTAGGCAGAGTGTTCTTTTCAGCGTACGTTATATTCTTCTTCCTCCAGACATACTGCTGATTCATAGGGCTGAAAAGTTCCAGTTTTCTTTGATCGCTTCACGGAACAGAATGCCAAAACCTCTGTCGCTTATTTATATGATTTTCAGCATATTGGAGCCGACTCTTCTTGTACTTGTGGGTCAGTAGTGGTGTACGTCTTGGAGTTCTGGCATGGAAACCTTCTGAGTTTAGTACATGCCTTACTGTGCAAACTGAGACCTCTTTTGCAGTCACTTGAAGGCTTTTCTCAACCCGCCTTCTCAGAAATCTGGATGCATCTATTAATAGCTTCCTTTTTCTGCTCCACCCAGGTAATGTAACCACTGTTCCTTTAACTTTGAACTTGCAAACTAAGATTCCAACAGTGTTTTTAGGAGCATTCAGTGCCTTTGCTACCTTTTTGTACCCTGTTCCTTTGTTTCTGAGTGGCGATGATCTCTTCTCAACTTTTTTGACCATTCTTTTGACTTAGCCATATTTCTAACATGCAGTCAAACCGACACTCAACAAATCCCCAGCCAGTTCAGGTATTTCATGTGTTCTAGTGCAAGCACACCTGGTGCTACTAATGAAGGCCTTAATTTGTTGCATCAGGTGTGCTTGAGACAACCCCTGTTTTGCAGATGCTCTTGTGAGGGATTCTATTCAGGGGGTTGAACAATTTTGAAACTGCAGAAGCCATTAAAAGTTTAATTTCAGTTGAATTTTGGGAAACCCCGTGAAACATTTATTGTGTTGACCTTTTTCAATTGCTTTTGTTTAATTTGTTCATTGCAAACAGTTGAAAACTTTCAAAATGTTGCCAATAAACCTAATTTACAATTGGGGTTGAATATTTTCATCACAACTGTAAGTTGCTATAGCAGAGCTATAACAGATGTCTGTGACTCCTTAGGCACAATATCACCTGGAAAGAATATTTCAGACACTTTATAAGATAACGCCTCTGCAGCAGATCAGATAATGATTGTGGAGGGGAAGGTGCTAAGGTACATTTGGCCTATGAAATCCTACATAACTGCTGCAGTGAAATATTCCCGGGATAAGGCTGAGGAGCGGAGGAGATGGGGGGCTTGATGGGTTAGGGGTCCCACCCATAGCTAAGGTAGACTCCTAGGAATGAAGGGACTCAAGCAGGGGACAACGTTAATGGCTGTCGGTGTAAGACCCTTGAGAGGGAGCACTGCAGGCTGCCCTGGAACAGTTAGTGGATTGTGAGCTGGAAAGACCTGATACGGTGGGACTACTCCTCTTGTGTTTGTGGTCCGACATGTTGTATTGCATGTAAGGGACAACTGGACTCAGAATACCAGTAAAATACTCAGAAAAAACCTTGGATACTCATGAACAGGTTGCTAAGACCAGGAGAGGTTCATATGTCTGGAGGTAACCAGGTTACTAGGTGGAAAAAGGATAAACTAAGGTTAAAACCGCATCTCTTGCAATTAGGAGCAGTAGTGAGGAGGTGCTACCTCATGCTGAATGGCAGGAAAAGAGCACCTAGTGACAGCATTCAATTCATCCGCATCTTAACCCTTTCCATGGAAACCATCAGCAAAAAAATGAATATTAATGGCGCCCAATGGTTGCAATAAAAGAAAGAGCTCCTGATGCTCAGCCCACATAGTCTACTCAGAAATGAGCACTTCAGAGACAAGATCACACCAGAGACTGGGCCACAGCTCTGGACCTGAAAAGCTCTCTGCGGAACACAGAACACAAAGGTTTGGAAAGCGAAACATGCAAAGCCCAATGCCTGAAGGTCATATTACAGGTGGGCCCCACAATTGTCCAGTTCAGCAGAGTCCGAGTATAGTCTTCGCAGCCATTGCTGATATGCTCCAGAGAGCTGCATAAAGAACCTAGCTCAAGCAGTGTGTAGCGAAGACTTGATTGAAGCAAATAATCTAGAGTAAAAGACAAAATGCCTGGTAAAATGGTTAATATTTTCTCAGTAGAGAAAGGCATCCATCCTCCTATGACACTGGTAAAAACTAAGGCATGCTGGGGGTGGGATGGGTTATACCAAGCTCGTGAGTGTTAGCTTAACAGCGTCCAAATCCTCCTGTAGGTGGCAGGATAACCCACATATCTCTGAATTCGGTGCTCCTCAATTATTGATGAAGAAATATTATCACATCTTACTTATAAACATTCTCTGTACTTATGCCATAATGTAACTCCTGTATATTTTGGCGTGAATATTATCCCTCTCACAAATACCACTTTAAACAGCAATTACAGGCAACAAGTGAAACCACCTTGTGAACTGCTAATACAGCCGTCAATTCACTAAATGCTATTTCAACCATTTTTAGTGAAATATCCTGAAATAAAAAAAAGTCAATTCATCAAAGCAAAAGCTGAAAAACATGAGATAAATTTCGCATGAAATACATTAAAGTCAATTCACAAAAAAAAACACGTTAATTATCACCTGGCAGAGGCAGTAGGTATTTGCAGTCTGCCAGCCTGTGACAGTGTGAAAGTGTTGAAAACCTCCAATCTGAGGCAATGTAATTATTTAAGAACACACAGCTGGAATATAAATGTATCCAAGAGGAGGATACAGAGAAGAATGAAATCCTGAAGGCAGGAATGGGACCAAATAAAATCGTTTTTTGATGCCTTGTTTGGTTTTAAATGTGATAGGTGCAAATGACTGCACTCATGAGCCTTTATTTCACTGGAAACGACGATAAAAACAAAGTGAAAAATAAAAATGAATACCACGTATTAAAGAAATATCTAATTCCGGAATATTTCTCTTAGATTTTAGTGAATTGTATACTCAGGAGTTACATAACTCATGAGTTATTTTGCTTCAAAATTTGCTGAGTTATTTAGCAGTTAGTGAATTGAGCCCACAGCCCAGTATATGTATAGGACATAAAGGAACCTACATGGTAAGTAGGAATGCCTGTACTACATTACAAAGAGGAGTCACCAGATGACTTGAATACCACACTACAGCTTTGCTTGGGTAAAGGATTTTAAGAAAAACATCTGCAGCTGTCAGGTTCTATAACACATGCAGCTCCTTATTGGTTTGGTAGTTTCAGAAATTCATTCTTTTCTTTTTTGACCAGCAGAGGTCACTAATGTACTGAAAACAGCACATCCTACATGTAAACATTCTGCATTAAAACCATATTCTATGTATCTCCACTCTGGTTAATTTAGAATATCTGTTCTCAATATTAAATCTTGGAAAAACAGCTAATGTCCAGTACACCAAATCCCTTGCAAGGCCCGTATAATCTAACCAGTATTAGTAAATGTGATGAAATAGCATATTTTTATATTGTATCTGAAATATATTACTTTCTTCTGTTTATTATTAAAAAGATATTCCATTAAAAAAAATTTGCTCCTCTAATGGATCGATCCTTGGTTCTCAACCGGTGGGCCGGGACTCAAAAGTGGGTTGCGACCCTGTGTTCAGTGGGTTACCGCAGTGCCTTCCACTTTTCTAGGTGAGAGGCTCCTCATCCTCCCCCTAGTGCAGCACTGTCAGTTCCCACATCAAGCAGGCATTCAAAACATGCTGCCTGGTGCCGAGTGTCAGCTTGAGGTGGGGTGGGCTGGGGCTATAGCCGCTAGGGAGCTCCATCCATACATGCATTGCTTTCAGCTTCCTTTAGAGGTGCCTGTAGACATCACATTCTGGCTCCCGGCACGCAAGGGACCTGTATCAGCAATGTACATATGGATGGAGCTCTGTCACAGCAAAGCAGCCCACACTGGACCCCCGGCTGAGGATCTACACCAGTTGTCTTAAGATAGGGAGACTGTGTGGATCTTAAAAAAAAGAACAAAAATGTAAAAAAAATTTGAGTGTGCATGTGTGTGTGAGAATGTGTGTGTCTGTCGGTGTTTTTGAGGGCCCATGCACACTAGTACAGTGCGTTAATCGCACAGTCCCGTGGCTCACAACTTCAAGCACGTCTGCATGCTATTACATGTGTTTTTGAAAAACATTAAAACCCAACTAAAAGAAACAAAAACATGGAAAATGTGCTGCACAGCATGAAATTCTAAAACTGCATTGGGATTTCTCAGCACCCATTTTCATGTGAGTGCTAAGAGACCATGAGATAACATACGAGTGTTAATGTGCATTGTGTTACCCAGTCACATACATTTACATAGTATTTGAGGTTGAATAAAGACATAAGTCCATCAAGTTCAACCTATTGTGTGTGTGTGTGTATAGGTCCATGAGTGTTTTCATTCTTAAGAGTACCTGTACCCTTGTACATTAGTCTCTCAGGAAGTCGTCCAAAAGCTTTTTGAAGGATTCCAGACTAATTGCGGAAATCACTGCTTGAGGCAGCGAGTTCCAGACCCTAACCGCGCAAACTGAGAAGAACCCCCTTCGCCCCTTGTGTTTGAATTTTTTTTTCTACCAGTTTTCGGTGGTGTCCTCTAGTCTTTGTTACGGAATTAATCTCAAAGAGTTTGTTGCTATGACTATTGAACATTTTGTACATGAAAATCATGTCCCCCCTCAATTTTACAAGGTATTTCATTCATTTTAAATTTGCTGCAAATGTAACACAACACAGCCAAAAATGGAGGTGCACAATTTTTTTCAATACAGCACACCGCAATGCACAGTTGTGCCCAATGGATTATTCCCTATCGTCTCCTCTTCCAAAGACAACTGTACATTTTCCCATTTCTTTTTGTCCCAATGACAATGGCCACCAGGACAAATAGGAGTAAATCTTCCCAAGAAGAAAGGCCAGAGTGTGTCTGTAACAATCGTACTGGACATCTCACTCATTTATAACTAAGTGGTAAATGAAGTATATTTGACTCACCGGCCAGTTGTAGTACAGATGACAAAGCTTGTATGTCAGACGTTGAAGGTGATCAGGTTTTAGACAGTTGGAGTCATAAAGTACGTTGTAATACGTAGGGTTCACTGTTCCCTGGCGAGCGTTTTGACTTATCAGGAAAAAGTCATACCTTGGAGACAACAATTTTGCATTAGGTTAAGCACGCATTCAATAACCTCTGCATGAAATCATCTTAAAATAAGAAAAAGGTAAAGAGTGATAGCATGGTACTACAATGCTTAGAGCTCCTGCAATGCTGAGGCCTTTGGTTTCATTCTTACCAAAGGCACGAGCTGTATGGAGTCTGTTGGTTGGTCCAATCCAGGTGAAATAGACACTAGCAAAAAAATCTTAAAAATGCTTGCCACTTAGCCAGTGGTAGCAAGCAGTACAAAAGGAATTGAGTTGGAGTGAGCTGTGTCCCTCAATGGACTTTGAGAAAAGGATTTTACGGTAAGAGCAAAATCCTTTTTTTCTCTATTGTCCATTGAGGGACACAGCTCCGGAGAATTCTAACACGCAGAGATGTTGAAAAGCAGTTCAAACAGAGGGGCAGGCACCCCAACCCCTAGAAGAACCAGCTCAACAATAAGAACTGTCAAAAAATATTTTACAAACAGCCGCCTGAAGAACTTTTTTGTCAATACTGGCATCAGAGGAGGCCGAAACATCAACTTTGTAAAATATTCCAAAAATGTCAACAGAAGACCAAGTTGTGGCATGGCAAATTTGAGCAACAGAAGCCTGATTATGAAATGCCCAAGAAGTACTAATTGCCCCAGTAGAATGAGCAGACACAGGAATAGGATGTACCTTATTCTGCAAATCATATGCTTGAACAACAACCTAACTATTCCACTTAGAAATAGAAGATCTAGACGCTGAACAACCTTTCTAACACCTTGTGGTAGGAGAAACAAAGAATTCGAGCATCTAAAGTTGTGGCTGAAAGTTAAACTCTAATAGCACTCACAACATCCAAACAATGAAGATACATTTCCTCAGGATGAACAGGAGCTGGACAAAATGAAGGTAAAACAATGTATTCATTGAGATGAAAGGCCTAAACCACCTTGGGTAAAAAGGAAACCTGCGGTATCAAAACAAGTTTGTTCTTATGAAGAACCAAATAGGGTTCTCCACAAAACAAAGCAGACAACTCAGAAATCCTTCTAGCCGAGGTAAGGGCCACAAGAAATGCAACCTTTTTGGACAACAAAAACAAAGAAATTGTTTCAGAAGAAGTTTTTTGTAGAATGAATAAAACCAGGTTCAAGTCCCACGGAGGAAGAAGAGACCTAACAGGAGCAACCACACGAGCAACTCCCTGCATAATAGTATGAATCATGTTAGTAGGAGCAAGAGGATGCTGCAAAAGGACAGATAAGACAGATAACTGACACATAATGGTGCTGAGAGCTAAAGCTAATTTAAGCGCTGAGCAAACTGTTGGCCATATATAAATCCTATATAATAATAATAATTGATCAGTGGCGTAACAATAGCCATAGCGGCCTAGGTGGCCGCTATGGGGCCCGGGCCCAGCCAGGACACCCCCCTGATGCCGTGCGGGCTGCCTGGGTCGCTATGGGTTCGAACGCACCGCTGTTCAGATCACCGTGATCTGTGCAGCTCTGCGTTCTTCTCCATTGCCGCTGCTGAGTCAAGGAGAGTCAGCAGCAGCGGTGGAGGAGGCTGGACGTGGCAGGGAGGAGGCGGGGCCCGGGGGGTCAGAGGAAGGCGGGGCCGGTGACGTAGGAGGAGGCGGGCCCGGCGACAGAGGATGGAGCAGGCCCGGCGACGGAATTGATCCCCATTTAAAGGAAAAACAGAATATGCAAAATAGGAAAAACTCATAGGGAAAACCCCAAGGACTCACACCAACAAAAATAAGCCTTCCATGTACAGTGATAAATTTTGCAAGCAGAAAATCTCCGAGACGTAAGCGTAGTTGGAATAACAGAATCTGAAATTGGGTTTCAACAGCCAGGCCAATAAAGCCAGCGACTGAGAACCAGGGTGGAAGATTGGACCCTGAGATAACAGATCTAGCTGATCTGAAAGAAGCCAGGAATCACCCGCAAACCAGATCGCCACACCACACCCTGGAGTGACGAGAATGACTGGAAATCCTTCATGTTTGATCCTGCAAAGGAGACAAGGTAACAGCGTCAGTGGAGGAAAGGCATACATCAGGGTGTACTGATCCCACGGAGCTAATAAGGCATGCACTGCATCTGCCATTGGATCCCTTACTCTGGATATAAACCTGTCCACCTTTTTGTTGTGGCTAAAAGATCCACATTTGGCTTCCCCAACGATGACAAAGTTGTTGACACATCTCTAGATGAAAAGACCACTTGTCTGGATCCAGACACTGTCTGCTAAGAAAGCCCTGCTATAGCCAATATCGAATGTACCTCATTCACTGCTGACACACTGCTGGTGCCCCATAGTGATTGTTGTAGACTACTGCTGTGCCATTGTCCAAACCAGACACTCAGGCAGAAGAAGGGTCCAGTGCAACAATGTCAGGCGAATAGCCCTCAACTCTAGGACATTAACCGGAAGCTTGGATTACGCCAGAGACCAAAAACCCTGAACACAAAGATGATCCAAGAGACCGCCCTATCACAACAAGACTGGCGTCTGTCATGACAATCCAGTTATAGGAAGAAACAACTTCCCCATTGTCAACGCTGGGCATGTCAACCACCATGACAGAGACATCTTGGCTGAAGCACTCAATCTGATAACTTTCTCCAGCGATAATTGAGACTTGTCCCATACCTGGAACTGAGCAAATAGTAGTGCTTCGAAGGTTGACACCATCAACCCCAGAAGTCTCATGCAGGTTCTCAGAGTGGATCGGGCAAAAGTGTCAAAGAAATAAAACAATCTAAAATATTAAAGCAGAAGAGAAGGAGACATTCATTCCATTGAGGACATTAAGTGAAACTGGCATGTGTGAGGTGGGCAGGCCTTTTCAAATTTCTTTCCTAGTGTCTATTTCTCCTGGAAGCAGCAGCATAACTCTACGTCTCAAAATTCTTCAGAGCTGTGTCCCTCAATGGACAATAGAGAAATACTTACCTTTGACCCTGTCCCAGCAATGCCTGGTACACAGCTAAAAAAGAAAATGTTGTGGTTGCCTCCTCTTCCTACTATATGTGTGCACTGTGGCCCCATTAATTCCTGTGCAGGAGGTGTATTAGAAATGAACCCCTATATTACAAATGAATCATTAGCTTGAATTGGCTAAACAAAGAGGAGGCCATAAGCAGTCAGCATATTTTACTCCTGCCTTCAGATTTCTTAAAACTGAAGTCCAGGAAGATATAAGACACAGATGAATGCAGCTCAGTATTCAGTAAAATATTAAATCTATTTTCTAAATCCAAGAAGTGTAAGTATCTGAATTTGACTTTGTATGAGCCTCATGCCATCCTTCTACAGAAGAGTTAAGTCAGAGGGATTGAGAAACAGCACAAGGAGCCAATCGGTTGGCTGATAGAACGAAAGAGTCTGCTCATCGGCGTTCTATTTCTCCATTTACTGTCCAGTTAAAGGCTGGGGGTGGGGAGCTGACCTGTAACTGTTACTGAACGGTAGTACAGACAAATCAGGTCTCATGCTCTTTTCAGATAGTGATGTGCTGTATGGCAGAGCTGTGTCATTTTCATGACTGAATGTACAGAAATATGAATCATTTTGGCAGGAAAACAAAACATTATATGAATTTCATCAGCATATTCAGCTGTTTGGCATTTTGCTTAACAGCATGAAAATGTTTCTCCAACTCTGCCACACTGAACAGAAAAATATGACTGTCACTGGTAGTGAGCGCAGTTTGAAAGTAGACAGCACACACAGTATTTCTTACAAAAGGCACAAAATTAGTAAAAAATGACTCACCACTCACGTCTTGTAGCCACACTGTCAACCACAGTGCCCAATGGTGGGTTCTGCAACCCTCGGCCAATATTACTGAAGAACCTGGTGGTGCATCTCTTCCTCACTACGACAAATGTCATTCTAGGACTGAGAAAACAACAAACCATCATTAAGGGGGGTAGCAAAAAGGCACCCTACCCATTCCATACTGTCCAACAATAACTCTGCAGGAACAAAAATATGAATGTATTCTAAGGCTGGAGTCGTAGGTAAACAATTACATTCTTTAACAGATGTACTTCACAAACATTAATAAAAAATATGAGACAAAAAAATTGTCAAGGGACCGTGGTCACATGATGAACTGCGGCCCACATGAGTTAAGCCTACCTCTTACATATAGCTATGTATGTAATAGAATAACACACAAAGGGTGTGGAAAGACCACATGAACACAGCATCAAAACAGGATATACCATATGCATTCCTTGGTTCTTGGGGCTGAGGGAGTGTATTGAGCTACATGGCTTCACATACAGATGGCACTTAGTACAGCACTGTGCTGAACTAAAATGAACACAATCTGAGTGTCACCAAGCACCTCAGTGAGACAGGTTCATCAGTATTTACTATATTGGGGACATTCCCAGGACTGATTGAAAACAAAGTAGATGCCTATACCCAGATCCATAGATCTAGGTAAAGTAACGTATTATCTGAGTCTGATATAACATCGTTGGAAAACAGCCGAGAGCACACTACCATAGTTTAGAAAATATGCCATGCTCCGAGGAAGAGACCATTACTTTGATAAGGTGTAGGAGAACCACATGGACCATCCAGATCAAGAGGTGTGAACTTTACCTACAGTAGGTCAGCACCTTGACTCACTTTTCCATGCTTGCACCACTGGCTGTGTTGCTTAAAGTGGATCTTCAAAAATGACATACACAATGCAGACCATCAGTACCCAACATATAATGCTCTAAAATGGTAACCATAATGTTAACGTTCACATTTTATGTAGATTTTGTATTAAAATGTTGCAGGGCGCTCAAAGACCTTTCTTCCTGAAGCCAGTGCCAAGTATGAGAATTCCCTTCCGGGTTGCCTCTTTTGCCCACAGTCAATGTCAAACCCAATCCTGCTTGTGCGCAGTAAGACGCCCACTATTACAATCAGTCTTTCTCCCAGTGTTAACATTGCCATGGTAATGCTGACAAGTAGGATTGATGTCAGTAGCAGTACCGCCAGCAATGTGTTGCCCATTCAGCTGTAAAGTGAGCTGTCAAACACAACTATTGTGAAAGGATGCTCAACTGCTTGAGAAGGACAATGACGCCGCCCTTGCACAGCGTAGATCTCCTTCCTGGAATCTCCTGATGCCGGAACTGAGGAAAAAGTGTGCATGCCATGAAGAGAATGCAACAAAGCAGCTGCTCCACACAACTGATGGAGGCTGCCAGTAGATCCATTATTTATTTTTCCACTTTATGTTACAGGCCAAGCTATCCAACAGGTCACAGAGAAGAGAAATAAGATATGCAAAGAATACAAAGCCGGCAATTATCTAGAAGTATCTGTGTGTAGATTGTCATCACTAAACCTTTCTAAAAGGTGTCTGTGTTGTTATTTTGAAGATATGGGTAAAGGAAAAGGTAGAGGTAAACGTCTTTAAAGGAGAACTATGGGGTTAAGGCTTTTCCCCATAGTTCCCCATGGGGTTAAGGCTTTCCCCTAGTGTCCTCCCGTCACCCAAAGCTCAGTATACCGCGAGCTGTAGCTCGCGGTATACTGAGACGCCCCAGTAGAAGCGGATCCCGACAATTATGCCGGGATCCGCCCAGCTGCGTGACTGACAGCTGGCTCTGCCTATCTAGAGGCAGAGCCAGCTGTACCTGCCCCCTCCCCCAGCCCGTGCTGGCGGATCGGAGCGAGGGGAATCCAGTCCCTTTCCTGTCACGGCAGAGAGCCGTGACAGGATCGAGAGGTGAGCGAACACTGGTATGTGTTCGCTCACCTCCCGATCTACTGAGCCGACCTGTGACAGTCTCATTGTCACAGGTCGGCTAGAACTATGAGGTGAGTGAAAAGCACTCACCTCATAGTTATCCTTTAATATGGTTGCCCATTACTTAAAGTTCATTACCAAAATACGAAGTTAATCTAGATTAGATCATTCACAGGGTGACAATGCTGCTGTGCAATTTTACTGCAGAATGAACAGCATTGTCAGCCTGGTAAGGGAATAGGAATAATAAGGGATCTACTGGCAGGATCAGCAGGTAATAAAACAAAAACTGCTATGTGTTAATGTTAGTGACAGACTGCGGCTTACAATATAAATATTTCCCTATTTTGCCCATTGTTACACTTCAGTTCAGAGAAAAACTCTTTGATGATTACATGTTTGTGAGTCTTTTTAAACCACTCTTTTAACACTTTGGCACTGTACTGTTGGCTGTTTTCCTAATGTTTAAGGTCAAACTGTTTCCATTTGGAACATTTATTTTAACTGACAATTAACAGTTGGTCTTGCTGGTAATCTAAGAATTTTGTTATATTCACTAGCAAATGTACCCCGTTCATGAACGGGGTCATTTGTGATAGTGGTTCAGGTAGGTATAAGTTTAATCTCCCTACAAGTAACATGTTGGGCTTTATTAGAGATAAAACAGAACCCCTCTGATCTTTGAAAAATGACAATCGATTGCAGACAGTTCAGTACCCAGCAGCCCCCCAGTGAGGCGACAGTTGCCACTCATTTGCAGTTAGGTGTTTTTTTCGGGTCCATAGTCCTGAGTCCTTAACTTTCCAAATTCTAAAAATCCACCATTGGCATATGGCAAAGTAGAAACTACACAATATAAAAGTGATCTATGGTTTTGTCTGTGATGTAGTTATCAGGTATATATACTATAAGTCATACACCTTATCATACAAAACATACATTTAAAAATTAAAGCAGGAAATAAACACAATATAAAAAGGTATAAAATGTTCCCAGTATAAAGATATGCAACACTTTTTGCTTGCAAACATACTTGTAACCACTCTGGGCCCCTGCAAAGCATGCCAGAAGCTGACGAATCTCATAATCCAAAACCATCTGTAACTGGCCGTCTCCAACTCCATCGCGATAAACAATAATGCGCTTAGGCAGATCATTATTGTAACTCTTCCACTTTTCAATGGCACCTGTTGCGAAGAAATACATATGTGTAACTGGTTGCTGAACTTGTAATACCACTTAAATAAGTATTAAGAGCCATTATCATTAGTTGCTGTATCTGGCATAAAAATCTGCAGACGTTTCCAGTGCAAGGGGAAAAAATATATTGGATTTTTTTTTTTGTGCGCCTTAAAATCCTTTCCTTCGATAGTTCATTCTGGGACACAGGAGACCATTGCTATATGCCTTTCCACTAAGAAGGTGGACAGAAAGAAGCCCCTCTGTAGGACATACCCCATTGCACACAAAATCAGCCTTAACAGAATCTAGGAGTCAAAGGTAACTTCAGGTATCCATCGAACCCGGAACCTTTAACAAAAGCAACACGCCTGATAATGTAAACCAGGGGTACTCAACCTGTGTAACCTCAGGACCCACAATGGTCCATGGTCATTAAGTCATATCCCAAGTAGCACTGCATTGGAACGCACAGCATTGCGCTAACGCGCGTTTTGGTGTGGGTGATCGCACTGTGGGTGGGAGGTGCGTTTGGGGTGCTATTCAAAAGAATGGCAAAGCACCTCCAGCACCAGAACTCACGGTAGGTGCAGCTGTGTGGTACAGTGCATTCATCGGCACTGATATGTGCATTGCTTGTACAGATCCCTTGTGTGCCCTGTAGAGGTGGCAGGAGCCAGAATGTGATGTCACTCTGGTCCAGGCACCTCTACAGAGCACATGTGGGAGCTGTAAGCAATACACATACTGTATGGATAAAGGTCAGTCAAGGACATACCCCCATCCCACTCCAAGCTGGCACTTGGCGCCAGGCAGCATATTTTAAATGGACAGTTCTGCGCTAGGGGGAGGCTGAGGAGCCTAGCGCTGTGGAAGGCATGCGGCGACCCACTGAACATGGGGTCACAAGGCAGAAAAGGCAGATCATGCAGCAACTGTCTTGCAAGTCTTGCAAAAGTACAAAAAAAATCAATTCCAAAAATTCTTGGCCAACAGTAGTTGCTATTAAAGGGGCGGTTAGGGAATCTCAACCTCTCTAGTGACACAGCAGAACCCACCTAGGAAACAGTCTACTCACCAATTGCTGCACTAAATCTCCAAGTATGGGAGCATAGTGGTGCACTAAGCTTTCAGTCTGCTGAGGTAGAAAAGGTCGAAAACTCGAGGTCTGGTATGACACTGCAAGCAGCATCAGGATAGGAATCTTCACACTTAAATTATCAGCCTTAAAAGAGACTGAAAGGGTCTGAGAAAGAAGTCCAACGTTCTTGTTACACTAGTTGCAGAGGCGTCTGCCTGCAGGAGCAGCTGAGCCTTCTGCTGAACAAGAGAAAATCACTTGATTGCTCCATCCGTGGATAAAGGAATCTCCCCTGCCGTCTGTTGTATTTAAGCAGACTGAACGGATACAGTCACTATTTGGCTGAGAATTTTCCACCAAACTCATTCGACTTTTTGATCGATTTTGTCAAGCCCTGTGGTGCTGGCAGGGCAACCCACGGCCCAAATTATGTCCAATTCAGTGGGAGATGGGCATTGCTGTGTATTGCTAGTTTTAGTGTCCACCTTTTTGTTGCATAATAGATTTTTATTAAAGGTTTTTAACATCTGAAGTGTCCACCTTTTTACTAGCAGGGCATATACTAATAGTCTACTGTGTCCCCCAATGAACGCTGAGAAGAATTTTGTAAGGCTTGTTATTAGTAAAAGGACTGTGAGTAAAATGTATCATTCTAATTAGGGATTCTTGCAGGCATTACTTTTATGACAGGAGGGACTGAGTATCCAGAAAGCTTGGCCAAAACCGAAAATTGTTTAAAACCCGGCCTTTCCATAAATCATTGTACTTCCTTTTGCTTCAGTGCTCCTTACAGATCTGCCCACCCAAAAATGAATATGTTAGCTACAGGTGAAGTCTGGATGGCTACATAACGTTGAGATTTTACATTCCTCCTGCTGTATACTTTTTAATATCAAATCTATTAAAAATCCAACAGGGAGAGTTGACTGTGGCAGGTGACCTGGGAAGTGGAAGATATTTGAACTTTTAGGGCACCCTTAGGGTCCCCACACACCTTACGATTATCGTACCATAATCGCGGGAAATCCCTCGATCGTACGATGATCGTAAGGTGTGTGGAAGCCGTGCGACCTCTACTACTGTAAGGTCGCACGACTTTAAACTTACGGACATGTTTGAAAACCCGTTGAGCATCGTACGATGTTCGGCGGGTTTGTAGCATGTCCGTACGATAACAGCCATACGGGCCGTGTGCGCAAGCGCACACTGCCCGTTCGGCATTGCGGTCATCGGAAGCCCGCCCCTCAGGGGGCGTGGCTTGCGATCATCGCAAGTACGATCTGCCTATGCAACATAGGCAGATCGTACGTTTTTATAAGTACCTTACAACCATCGCAAGACAAAAGTCTTGCGATGGTTGTAAGGTGTGTGCTGCAGCAGACACAGGCATGAAGATCTGAGGTCATCATTCCCGTTCTGCTATGCAAACTTTGTCAGCCTTCAGTGGATTGTAATTAACTGTATCTCTATGATAAACCGAAATGACCACAAGGCATACCACTTGTCAGCACAGGTCTGCAGATCAGAGATGCAGTTTTGTGTGTACATAGTGTTACATTTTTTAAATACAATTGGTGGAGGTGCCCTCCGCACACCTTTCAGCAGTCCCGGCCAACAATCAAATAAATGGTGCTCGAAGTAACTTCACGGATGGCACCGTGCAAAACACAAGATTGAAGAAAATAGGTCACCAGCACTCCATAAGTTAAAATGAATGAGTCCTTTTAATGGACAATGATGTCACAGAAATCCAACATGAGCCGACGTTTCGGGGCCACACAGGGTCCCTTCTTCAAGGCAAGAGATGTGACGCATCTCTTGCCTTGAAGAAGGGACCCTGTGTGGCCCCGAAACGTCGGCTCATGTTGGATTTCTGTGACATCATTGTCCATTAAAAGGACTCATTCATTTTAACTTATGGAGTGCTGGTGACCTATTTTCTTCAATCTTACATTTTTTAAATAAACTGCTGGTCCATGCACTCAAATTACTTTTTTTCCCCCAACACAGTGCAGTGCACTGGTGGGAACAGACTCAACTGATAATAATGAATTTTCTGATTTCCATGTACAGTATTTTGCTTGCGCTGTAAAATACAACAAAATGCATTACAATTAATTTGGTTGAAACGAGCCCTTAGAGTTACTCTCCAGTGCCCCCAAATTATTTAAACTAGCCAACCAGATCTTCCTTCCACACACTTAATAGGGACATTTAAAATTACAGCAAAAATAATGGAGTTACTATAGCAATCAATATGTTTCACCTTTCAAATATGATCAGACCCCATACTGTATGTAGCAACTCTGGTTTTGTGCTCTTTTTCTCTTCTCCAGTTTTTATGAATAGGATACAATGAGGGGAATTCATCAAAACTGGAGCAGACAAAATCTGCAGCAGCTGTGCACGGCAACCAATCAGCTTCTCTGTTTCATGTTCAAATCTTAACTGAACAAACTGAAGATAGAAGCAGACTGGTTGTCATGAGCAACTGCTCCAGTTCTGATAAATCTCCCCCCCAATGTCTTTCTTAAAAGAGAAGAACTATGAGGTAAGCGTTTTTCACCATAGTTCTCTTAGGGGGTCACAGAAGGACATAAACTAGCATCGTCCCGTGACCCAAAGCTCAGTATATCGCGAGCTACAGCTGGAGGATCAGAGATGGGGAATCCCTGTGGGGATCAATGACTGACATTCACCGATCTCTGCAGGGAGATGATCGAGAAGTGAGCGAGCGATGGTATGCGTTCGCTCCCTTCCCGATCTATTGAGCCGACTAGTGCTGCAACAGTTAATCGATTTAGTCGATTAAAATCAACGATTGAAAACGTTGGCAACGTTTTCGATTGTCGATTCGTCGGCTATCGATTGATTTGCCTGTTCGGGGCTCCACACGCGGCGTAAGCCACACGTCACACGCTGCTCCCGCTGCGGCCGCCGTGCCCACTGCACAGGCCGCATAAGCGACGCCCACCGCACAGGACGCTGAAGCCGCGCCGCTGCTCTCCTCCTCGACGCGATCTCCCTCACTCGTCGCTGGCCCACCGACAATCGAGGAAAAGCAATCTTCTGAAAGCAAGTCAGTGGTGGAATAGGTGTACGGAGCTGCAGTGTGGAACAGGTGTGCAAAAACTTCCACTGCGCCAAACTTGCTCCCGTGATGGACTACAATCTCAATACAAACTAGTAGTCCATCACTGGAGCCTTCCCCCCCCCTCTTTTTTTATCCGATTAACCGATTAATCGAACTTAATAATCGGCCAACTAATCGATTATGAAAATAATCGTTAGCTGCAGCCCTAGAGCCGACGTGTGACTGTTTCATTGTCACACATCGGCCCGAACTATGAGGATGAGTGATTTTCACTCACCATAGATCTCCTTTAAGCCTCCCACTTATTCCTCTGTTATTGTGTTAAAAATGTTTGCTTGCTACCAACAGAAAAAAAGCAAAATAAGTGTAACCTGCATCTCTAGTTATATTGATATTTCTCAATGTGCAGAGACTGTTGTTTTTAACTCAGCTATGTAACCTCTTTAACCAATAAAAACAATCTGGCTTCATTCTTCATTGCTAGAATATAGTGGCTAGTGCTGGGTTGAAACTTTATTTCATTTTTACTGTCTCCAGGTTCGTGAGGTGATGAGACAAAGGGCATTAAGGGCAGAAAGCTGATTATGATGATTATTTAGATAACCTCTAATAGACAACTGTCATAAAATGAAGCACTATTGTCAAACCCGCTCACTTTCTATTAACCCACAAGGGTAGCTACTCTGATAATGTTGAAAAAGGTAATCATACAATAATACACTACAAGAGATGCTGAATAAATATAGACACAAGTCTCAACAGAGCGTGGTCTCTGTTATCTTACTGAATATAAGAGCCCTGGAGAATACATTATATTTTCCATTTCTTATCTT